GTGTACGTTGTTGTTGTCGGCTTCTTTACAGCAAAAACAAAATGATTTTGGGCTCTTTCGTATCTGTTGTAGCATTTAACTTTCGGCAGAAATATTTAAATTCATTTCTAATTTTGCATATTATTGCCACTTTTGAAGTCTTAACAGTTTACAGACAAGCTGTATTTTATTTAACTTTTGTGTATTTTCTGAAATTTGTTATCTAACCAAATTAGCTTCACCAAAATTTAAGTTCAAGTTAATAATGATATCGAATTGTAAACGATAGTGTTAGTTTAACAGTATTTTTCAGTCTTATATAATATAGATTCCATTCTTACAAATACTAATCTAGATAGGCAAGCATCACTGTATTCAGAATGTTATATAATAAGCGATTCTAGCCATAGAATTGTCTATTGAAACTCAAATCAGTTCTGACCAAAACAAAATCCCATCAACCACCTCCTGCCATGGAAATATGTAACTAACTATGCTTTCGTAATACAAGCAGACAGCTTTGATTGATCCATAATTGATCCCGATACAAAAGACTAGATGTCTTCCACAAAGCAATATTTTTAATTACTACGATTTAGAGGACTCGAGACATAACTGAGTAAGATGTTACGATGTTTTTTTACTACCACATACCACTGCTGCGGTTTAAATGTTGGTGCGGTTTAAGTCTCCCAATCTTTCATCTTCTTGCTCCCTTTTGGTTTTGCGATAGGAGCATCCATGCCTGCCATTTTCTTGTTGTATTTTTCACGTAGAGGATCATTGGAAGTCCACCTGCACATTCATTCATTTTATGTAAGTAAACATATCAAATTCTGCAGCTCATGAAACGAGAAAAACAGATGCAAGAATCTCCCAACACAACCCGGGTTCACATTTGCATGCACTGATTTAGTTCAGTTCTCATCTTAATGTTTCTACTCAAATGCTATTAATCATATTTCAGAAACCTAAACGAGTCTATGCCTAACCAAGATGCAAGAAAAGAAACACTGAAATCAGAAAACTTACGGGTTACTCCAATCTGTTGTGTCCTCATTGACAAGGTGAGTCCATTTAGTTCTTCCACTACGACCAAAGTGCTTGACTTGCATAACTTTGGGGAGAATCGATTTGTCCAACCTATCTTCTCCAGTTGGAGCAGAGAAGTCGCGCTGAAATATACCATCGGTTCCAGCAGAACCTGCCTCATCATCAGGATCTGCCTGGAAGAAGGCACCCTTGTGGTAATATTTCTGCATAAAGTTCCATTTCTTTTTTGGTTGAGCTGAAGAAGGTTTCGGATTCTTCCTCTCCCAATCTCTCCTCTCCTGCTCTGTCATATTCCTCAACTTCTCTATTTCTTCCCTCTCTCTCAGCATAGCTTCCCTTGCATCTCTTTCTCTCTTGATCCTACCAATCTCTCTTGTCTTCCAAACTTCATACTCCTCAGCTTCATTGAGTTCATCATCAGTTTCCACATCTCCAATATTTGCTTCCTCCAATAGTATGTTCTTCCGTATCTCTTCATCTTTCCTAACTTCCTCAACCACAATTTGCTTTGTCTCTATTTTTCTTTGCTCCAGTTTTCTCTTTGCTAATTCCTCGAGAGCTTCTTCTTCAGCCTCAAGCCGCTCACGCTCTGCAATTGTATCTCTCTCAGCTTTCGGTACAAAAACAGGCTTAATCATGGCAATACCAGGCATGTCATCTTCTGAATCAGTCTCGTACTCAGACTCCTCCTCCTCCTCTTCTTCCTCTTGTATCTCATCTTCTTCTTCTAAAGGAAGTAAAGCAGCCTCCTCTTGCGCTCTTCTAAGATTTTTCTCTCTAATTCTTCTTCTTCTCTCTTCCAAGGCATCTTCATCATCATCCTCGTCTCTATTCTCTTGATTCCTCGATTCTTCTTCTTCCGTAGAAATAATCTCAGCCTGTCTAATCCGCCGATGATCAGCTCTAACTTCGTCACGGTTTTCAACTTTAGTCTTAGCTAAACGGCGCAGCCTTGGATCATCCTTCCTAGCAACACCCAAATCATCATGCTTTGGAAAAGCTCTATCCAAAACAGAAACCTTCTGCATCCTAACATCATCATCTTCTTCAGCTTCCTCAGCCCACTCCGGAGCTTTACCTGGCCAATACCTTCTGACTTTGGTCTGTCCAATACCACCTTTTAGTTTCTCCCTTACAGCAATTGCAGATTCACTCACTCCCGCTGTGACCGACATATTTGCACTTGCAAGTAACCAAACTCAATCAAATTAGCTATCTGTCTCTGCAGCACAAAATAATACAGGGCGTAGATTCAAGCTTTGCATCATTAGTATTCACCAGAAAAGGAAAGGAAAAGAGCTACTTCCCCTAATCGATCCTCAATAGCTAAAATCTTAAAGAGACAACAACAAAATGCATTATGTACAATGCATATCACTGATGTGTGTGTGGGTGAGTATATCAACATGAACAATGGACGCTAGAGAAATTCGAAGATTGCAGATTTTAACGAAATATAAGGATCTCTATAAAATCTGAGCTATTTGAGAAAGCTTGGATCCACAGAGTAAGGAAGCTAAATCAGCACACAAATTAACAAACGAAGACGATAGGTATACAAATCAGAATCGGATAACTCGATGATTCTGTAAGAGAGAACAAGGAATACAAATAAACGGAATCCAGAAGAAATTGACGATAAAATAAACGAACTTACAATCTGGAGAATCCTAGACGGGTAGAGATGGAGAAAATTATCTGCGAGAGAGAAACCCTAAGACCGTGGCGGGACGGTGGGGTCTTTTAACCGGCACGATGGCTAATCTCTTTTTTTTTTTTTGGGCAAAGGCACGATGGCTAATAACATAGGTACATAATGGGAGGTTATTAGCAAAGGTTGTTAGCAATATTTTATGAATTGATTTTTAAAAAATTGTAGTTTAGAGTTTGGGTAAAAGTTTTATTTTTTGGCATTGTGTAATGGTAGTATAGTAAGTTGGGGTTCTTAAGAAAAAAAAATTAAATTAATACACTAAACATTGTAGCTTTATCTATGAAATCCAAAGATGCCTACAAGTCATAAGACTCAAATAAACAAAAGTAGAATCACTATAAGCTTGGATCTGCTCTTTAGGGATTTGAAGCTCATAAAACGCATCATCAACACTAGATTTCACTACACGATATTGAATCAAACAAACCAGCTGCACAAACACATTATCCTACAACACAGCAACAACAACAAGAAAAAACCTAATTTACATGAATCTCACCACATACTAACGAAAATTCTCAAAGGATCAAAAGGAATAAGTGATCACTAACCTTAGTTTTGGTTTCAATTTTGGTTATATGTAGCTAACAGAGTCGACTGCAAAAAATAAACAAATTGAAAAGAGTTAACACATGATGAAACTAAATCAATGCAACACAAAACCAAATATGATCTTCAATAATCAAAAAGGTAAAAAAGAAAAGAAAAAAAAGACAGAACGCAAGTAATGATTAGATTAGCCAAATCATAGAGACAACTCTATTGAGAAATCGATAGAGAAATCAAGAAATATCTAATTACTCTGAAATAACAATTCTAAAATAAACCCTAGAACCAAATCATAGCATCGAAAATCATATATCTCCAAATAGATTCATACTAATCGCAATCAAAATCAATGAAAAATACTTTTAGAGCTTAGGGGATCAATTACAATAAACAAACGTGGTCTATCCCAATTTACAACCTCAAGGAGCAGAAGATAAATCAAACGATTGACATAGAGAACAAGTAATTGAATAAAAAGATGAACTGAGAAACAATAAAACTTACCATCTTGTTCAATTGAGATTGATAAAATCGATCTCCTAGTCTCCTCCTCTTTGTCTGGTGATGTTCACCGTCGGAGAATTCGATGAATAGAGAGAGAGCAAGCGTCGACAGACTGAAAAAACAAAAATCCACGACTGTTTTTTTTAGCCGTGGAAATGTGGGTATTCGGGTCGGGCTCGGATCGGATTTTTCGGGTTCGGGTTTAGAAATTTTGGACCCGTATGGTTATATCAACAATTTCGGGTCGAGTTCGTTTCGGATTCATTTTGGGTCCGTATAATTCGAGTATTACCCATAAGTAACCAAAACTATTTCGAGTTTGAGTACTACTTACCCAAATTTTGTCCAAATATACTCAAACATACATAAAAGTATCCATAACTCAAATCATTAAACAATCATGGATTTTAAAAACTTTAATGAAATCCATTGTTATTGAACTAAAATTTTAAAAATCTAATAGGATTTAAAATAGTTTGTGAATTTTATTCTTATTAATTTTGAAAAATTTAAGAAGATTTGAAAAGACTTCTTTGGTGAAAAATACAGAAATCTAAATCTCATGGTTTTAGATGAAATTTGAATTTTTTTTACAATAAATTACATTAACTTCCCTAAAATCATCAAAATCATATAAAAATTCACTATTATTCAAATAATTCAAAAAGTAAGATCAAATACACCCCCTTAGGAAAGTTAATTCAATAAAAAAAAAAAGATTTCTTATTAAATTGGAGAATTATTTGTTTGAATAATGAAATATTACCATATTATCATGTCAAAATTTTACCTTGACTTAACACAAAACAAATTAAAGATTTGAATTTGAGATATGGTGGAATATGATAAGAAAATGATTATTTGTAGGAAGAGAAGTTTTGAAAGCTATATTTAAATAGAACAATTAATTAATATAATTAATTCAAGGAGTTAGAATCACGGTATAAAAAATTAAAGATTGAAGAAATTTTTGTAAAATTGGAGAATTATTTTCAATACTGAACTATTATCGTATAATCTAAAAATGAATATCTATGTCAAAATTTTGATTTTGTATTTAGTTAAGAGAGTTACAATTATGTTAGAAAAAATTCATCTCAAAATTATAGTTTAATATGTAGTAATTTGCAAAGTTTAATGATTATTTTCTAAATATATGATATATCTAGGGGTGTCAAAATGGGTAACCCAACTCAACTCAACTCATAATCAAATGAGTTTAGGGTTAAATGAGTTATTGGTTGACCCAACTCATTTATCAAAAATGAGTTGGGTCAACCCATAACTCATTTAATTTGTTGGGTTGAGTTGTTAAATGGGTTAACTCATTTAAGTAATAATTTAATTAATTATTATTATGAAACAATAATAAATTATTAATTCATTATCATCAAATTTAGAATATTTACGGATTCCACTTTTTACGGATTTACGTTTTCGGCGGGAAAATTACGAGTTTATGTTTTTGGCGGAAAAATCACGGATTTACGTTTTTGGCGGGAAAATCACAGGTTTACAGGTTTACGTTTTTGGCGGGAAAATCACGGGTTTACGTTTTTTTGCGGGAAAATCACGGGTTTACGTTTCTGCGGGAAAATCACGGGTTTGCGTTTTTGGCGGGAAAATTACGGGTTTACGTTTTTGGCGGAAAAATCACGGGTTTACGTTTTTGGCGGAAAAATTACGGTTTACGTTTTTGGCGGGAAAATCACTGGTTTACGTTTTTGGCGGGAAAATCACGGGTTTATGTATTTGGCGGGAAAATTACGGTTTACGTTTTTGGCGGGAAAATCACGGGTTTACGTTTTTGGCGGGAAAATCACGGGTTTATGTTTTTGGCGGGAAAATTACAGGTTTTGGTTTTTGGCGGGAAAATTACAGGTTTACGTTTTTGGCGGGAAAATCATGGGTTTACGTTTTTGGCGGGAAAATCACGAGTTTACGTTTTTGGCGGGAAAATTATGGATTTATGTTTTTGGCGGGAAAATCATGGATTTATGTTTTTTGGTGGAAAAATTACGAGTTTACTTTTTTCAATTACATCGCTTGTATATTTAAGAAATTTGGAAAAATATTGATTTGATTAAATTGGTTTAGATGTTTTGGTTAAGCTTAAATTGATATTGGTTTAGAGATTTTACTTGGTTTAATTCAATTTTATAAAACTTGATGGGTTAATTGGATAAACCATTGAAACCATTAACCATTACAACCCAACTCATTTGACTCATCAAACCAATTGATCCAATAACTCATTTGACCCATCAACTCATTTGAGTCAAAAAATTTAACTCATTACGGTTCATGGAATTGAGTTGAGTTGAGTTGACTTATGAATTTTGACCCATTTTGACACCCCTAGATATATCTATTAATAACTAATTTTAGTCAAACTATAATCAATGGCAAATACATATGTCATTAAAATAAAGTGTCAAATGTCGCATTGCCAAAGACAAAAGTTATAAAACTTTTCGTGTTACAATATTATATCTTTCTCCTATGTACATAAGTTAAAAAAAAAACTTACACCATTAATTATATAAACACAATCCAACATATACGTTATCCCTATATATATATAGCCTGCGGATTGGCATTTTGAAGCGATCTCCGACGGCGGACAGGTAAAATCGGCCGAAAGAAATGGACATTAGGTTCTTCTTATTCTTCTAGGTATTCTTTGTTGTCACTTTTAGTTACCCACTTCCGAACCTTATTGCCCATATTGCGGATACGTTTTGCCACATTACCCACAATAGAAAGCTCATGTGGCTTGCTGTGTTGAGGTGAAACTTTTTTTGCCTTTAGCTCTTTCGAAAATTCAGGAGGAATATCCTGAATTGTATTTGAATCTTCACCAAGACTTGAATCACCTTGTGAATCCATAACTACCCTGACATCACAGTCTGTGACCACACACTTTTCACCTAAGCCCTTGTTTTCCCCACTTACTGTGTGAAATTCGAATTTGAGTTCATCAATTGACATCATGTGATCCATGCCTTTACCAACACATGGATGCATATTGGCATCATAGAAGACAAATATGTGATCCCTTTCAACTCTTGGAGCTTCTTTTGGAGCCCAACATTGAAAAATTCTTTCTATTCTATTAGAGTGACCGGTCTTGGTCTTCCATGTACATACACACCTAATGCCTAAACCTACGGCATTGTGGTGATCATCTCGAAATGATACTAAAACTGACATAGCAAAACCTGAGAGAGCTTTTCGCTTGCAAGGAGCAAGTTCTACCATAACAAATGAACCTGTTCGCCAATGAAAGGAGGACTTCTGACACGTGTCTGCAGGAATACATATGTTGAATCCAGGTGCTTTAATGTGTTCCTGTTTCAACAATGGCAGATCAAATTAGATAGCGAATATATATGTATGTGAGAGGATATGCACATGTGACAAAAGAAGGAGAGAAATACCTGATTTTGTTCTCTGACTAACCTAATCATTCTAGTCATACCTTTCTCTAGAAACTCAGCAGTCTTTTCCAAAGACAAGTTAAAGCAATTACTGAACGTGTAGTGTCGGGGAATCTTGTTAAAGTCCAAACGAACTAACTTCAGAAGGTGACAATCATGAGCATTCAAGAATTCAAGACTTTCGGGAAACTCTGGCAATTCTCGTATGCCTGCTCCAGCAAGATATAGTTCTTTTATGTTTCCTGGGAAACCCTTGATTTCCTCAAGGCGAGTGCAGTGGGACAGATCAAGAACTTGGAGAGATTCTAAATTGATCATGTCAGGCAGACTTCGCAACTGGAAACAATTTTTCATATTCAAGCGGACAAGCTTGCCAGTACCTTGATTATATGAGCCAAATTTAATCAGATTTGTTACATGACTTTCCAAATCGATATGCTCAAGACCCGGGAATTGTTTTATATGATGCATAAGTTCTTCGCAGTTTTGTTGGGAGGAGCGGGCCACAATGGAAATTGGTATCTCTTCTATGCTAGTTTCCTGGAGATATAATTCCTCTATATTTGGTGGAATCCCTGGGACACTTTTAATATTTCTGCAGCCTGAGAGATTTAAAACTCGGAGATGCTGTAATTCCGTCATGCTCACAAAGCTCTCCAATCTTGTACAGCCTTGGAGATCAATCAGCTCGATATTTTGAGCATATTCATGTATGCTAAATTCAACTAGCTGCCGGGAATGACAAAGACTGATCCTCTTCAACTTCTCGAGGTTCTGAACAAGAATTAAAATTAATAACAGAACTTGCGCGCAAGGTATTAAGTGGGATACTGGAAGATGGATACCTTCGTTCTTGCCTTGAGTTTCTTAAGCTGACTGTCAGGCATACTGAGTTCAACAACTTCCCGGAGGTCAAAACCTTGAGGCAAGGATTCGAAAGGATAGTTCTCCCAGTGGAGAAGCCTTAGCGCACACGGCAGAGAATTGAGGCCCTTGGGAAAGTTGAGTCCATGAACAATATTAGAGTGGGAGTGGTATACCTTTAAGAATCTCAGATTGACCATTCTCTTGAAAGAATCAGGATTGACATCAAATGTCAAGTTCAATATGTCTAGAGATATGCCTTCAATGTCTTCAGCGGCCTGTAAGATCAAATGAAAGCCGAAAGATTAAAAAAAATTGGCCCGTAATTGGCTCGTCTTCAATGACTAAGATATGTATGAATAAACGCAGAATAAACAAACCAGAACATATTATAGGAGTTTCTTTTGGTTCACCATCTTCTAGTAGATATCTGATGCTGGAAGGTTGCCACAGTGTTGTGCACCTCTCCATCTGTATTCTTTCCCCTGCAATAATTTCTCGGAATATGTCTTGGATCATCTCATTTATGTGAAATGTGTTTTCTGAAATAGTCATCAGACACTTCTCCACAAGAACATCTATTCCAACACGTGGATAGTAACCACACCCCTTAAGCAGTTGCACCGCATAGTCAACATTTTCTCCCTTGAAAAAACAAGCAATGTCGAAGAAGATGTACTTTTCATTGTCACCAAGTTCGCTATAAACACTCTTTAGCCTATCCTGAATCTTTTTTGGAGGGCATTTCTTCAGCTCGAGAAATGCAGTTTCGATTTCTGACTTGTTCCCATAAAGCTCTCGGCCATAAATGGAGAGGGCTAACGGGTTTCCATTAGCATATTCAATCACCTTCATTGACAGTTCCTTGTCATTCTGCTCTGGCACATCTTTTGCAAAGGCACTTCGAGAGAACAGCTGTAGAGCATCGTGCTTGCTTAAACCCTGAACCTCATATATTTGATTGATCTGGCAAAGGGAAAAAACTTGCTTATATCTAGAGGTTATGATTATCAGGCTTCCAGGACCAAACCAATCAAGCCTTCTAAGGAAAGACTCTGCAATCAGAGGATTGCGCACGTCATCTAGAACGACAAGAATCCTAGTATCGCATAGCTTGTCCTTAAGGAGGCTCCGTCTTGGAATGTAAGGACTGTCGTTTATGCCAAACTTTCTTTCCAGAAATTTACCAATATTCTCTTCAAGCAAACGGTGAGGTCCTGCCTTATGAAGTGCTTCATCAAAGTTCTCAATGAAGCAACAAGCGTCATAGTCATTCGACATGTGGTCAAATACTGCTTCAGCAAGGGTTGTCTTGCCTATGCCAGGCATGCCCCAAATTCCTAAGGTTCGGACATCCCAAGACTGCTCGCAAAGCAGGTTGTCAATTTCCATTAGCCTCGGATAAATTCCAATTCGTTCTGTAGGATATAGCTTCCCATAAACATATCTGACTATATCTTCCACGAGTTCGGCGTCGCTGCGTATACTATTACTTGAGTCGTCCCGACGTAACAAAAGAGAAGATAATATTAGCAGACCCTCCTATGAACATCGACTTAACATACAAGATTCGAGAGGGAAAGAAAAAAAGATTTGTAAAGTCTCCTTATATTTCGTTTAGTTTTTGGCTCAGAAAAAAAAAGTACTTTTGTTCAAAAATTGATATTTGTTTTTAACAGCTTCACTCAGTTTGAATCATAATTGTATGAAGCTATGCATCCAACAAGGTTGCAAGTATTATTACCTTGATTGGTGTCCACCTCCGAATTCCTGCAGCACGATGCTCTGCGAATATTCTTCATATCGATTCACCTCCTGTGGATCAACACAATAGAAAACTCGAATCACCTCTTGGCCCATGATCCTTATAAGCTGGGTAATATTCTTAGGAGTGGAGTACTGGTAGTTCCCGGAGTAAACCACCACCGAAACCTTAGCTTCCTGAAACTGATCACGAGAAATTCCATTTGTAAACACATCGACAGAGATGTCTTCGCTACGTAAAGCGGCGGATAGGTGA